ACATACCAAAATATTTTTTTTTCTATTTCGAAATTTTATAACTCATTTTAAATCAACAATTGTAAAAAATCTCGTATGAATTTTCCATAAGTTCACTCCTCCAAAACTTCTTCAAGGTTTAAGTCGAACATGGGAAGAAATTTTTGTTTTTCTTAATTTTCGCAAAACCCGTAAAACTTTTAATTAAATATCGTACAATTTTTCTTGAAAATCTTATAATTTTTAGTTTTCGTTTGAAAAACACAGATCACTTAAGAATTTTTGAACCGCAAAGCTTAATTAAGTGTTTATCACAATTGTATTTATTTTTATATAAGAATATAATTTATGCTTTAACGAAAACCGTATGAATCCAAAGGTTATACTTTTGAAAAAATATAGTAAGTTTATTTGAACCAAACTAATGAACATACCTACTTACATACGTACATATGTAGGTACATAAATAAATATGTATAACTTTATAATATATTCATATTATGAGGTGGTATCATTACCGAACACCCTATTACTTATATAATAATAATAGATTGGCGCTTACAGATATGTTGGTCTTTTTCTGCATTTTTTGCGATGTTGCTTTCACCAAGGCTTGAAGCCTTTTCCTTACACCTCAATTTAAGCGCCACAAATTTTTTAATCAAAGAATCTTCTAGAAATAGGCGTTGCAGTTTCAAAACCAAAGTTAAAAAAATTTAGATTTTGTTGTGGATTTTGGCAGAATATCTATATTGCGGAGGAAATTTTGTTAACGTAGGCTTTATTCTGCCGAAATCCGCAATAAAATCTGCGTTTTGATAACTTTAGTCCCACAATTGCCACGCCGATTTCTAGGGGTTTGCCGCTTTAAAGAAAAATCTCGCCATACTAATATTATTTCTGGATAGGTATTCAATCGGAACCCGCAATAAAATTAAAATTTTTGCAAAACCCGATTTTTAACACCTTGGTAAATATATCTCATAATAGGGGTTCGAAAACAAATTACAAAAAATTGTTGCTCTCAAAAATAAACCATTTCGTCATAAAAAACAAAAAAATATTTAAAAAACAGTTCATATAAAACGAATTTTTTTTACCATTTTTTGTAGAGAATTAAACAAGGATTACTTACGATGTTGTGATTTTAAATCTCTAATTTACTGGTCTTCATTATGCAAATTACCTTGAAAAAGTTCAAATAATCATGACCATCTTATATATGGAAATGTTCAGCCCGTTTCTGTAGCTTTAAAACCACGTTAAGATTAAATCTCTACGATGAGCAGAACGCGAGATATAACGATTTGAAGAAGTCAGTAAAATGGACCTCAGTCGATTATATTTTATTTTCGTATTATGTAACCTGATCAACAAAATTTGCTCTACTGTGAATGATTAACTGGAATGTGAACAGTTGTTTAAGTTTTTGCTAACATTTTTAAGCTATCTATTACCAGCTTTTATCTAACTTCACTTGTGTGTAAGTCCGGGAATTTTGCAATCAATGAAAGATGAATTTATCCGCTAGGTGGCAAAGGAGACGAGATATTTGAGTAATCCGCATGTATGGTCCGATTTCGTTCAAATTTGGAATGCATATTACTTACATAAAAAAAAGAGTCCATACATTTTGCAGGTACATACATAGGTTGGGCAGAAGTCGAGATATTTCGAAACCCGCACCTATGATCCTATTTGGTTCATGTTCATAATATATACATAGATGCTACCTATGTAGGTACTTAAATTAAAATCGAATGAAAAATTTGTTTGTTGAGGTCAATTCTCACTAAAAAGTGGAAAATCACTTACTCTCTCAACCGAGGTAAAATACCCTGGAGTTATTCTAGACAAGTTCTGGAATGTTAGCGAAACATTGTCCGGTAATTACCGGACCATTGTAGCGTTTTTCAAGCAGAGCTAAACGCCATAATAGAGGCGGCTCGGTGGCGTATAATTAAAGTCTGAACTCATCGAGGAAGTAAATACCGGGTGCCCTGTGGAAACCACCTGCCATACTACTAGGAAAATTTAGCCAAAGGTTTATGTAAGGCGATCCATAGCTCTCACTCTGCTGAAATTCTCCTCTCTCAAATTATTAATTATTAAAAAAAATTATTACCCCGACTGGTAATCACCGGACACTGCCTGACAGGCTAACCTAATATTCGCGGCTTGCGTTTTGGTACGCATGCCGTCGAATTTGTTTTTTTGCGTCACCCGAAATTGACTTGCATGCGTTTGCATTTGATTTCATTGAGTGAAACGTCAAATCAAAATGTCACGCAGAACAAAAATTGGAAATTGAGTTAGCTTCATACGCACGCCGTTCAATTTCGGTTGATCTCATACAAGTTGCATGTGTATGAGAAATTTTTGACAATAAATTGGCGGCGTGCGTGAATATTCGGTTAGCCTGTAATGGGCACACACGGAAAAGGTTAGGTTACCCCCCACCAACGATTTTTGGCGCAGTTGCAGAGACGAGGAACATTTTCTCTGCCATTGTCCCGCTTTGGCCAACACGCGCAAGAATTCTTCAAAACGTACTTCCTGGATTGTTTAGCCAACTTAAACTCTGCGAGCGCCTTTGACTTTTTTTCTAAATTTTCTAAAAATTTAATTAAACAAAAAACATATATTTTTCTATTTAAAACATAGGGGATAGATGTGGTAGAAGTGCAATTTAGGAAAAAAGTATTAGGGCTACGAGAAAATTGGAGAGTCCGCACACTGGCATAGAGCAATTTAGTCCCTAACCGATTCCAGTAACGCATTTTTGATCCCAAACGCAGTTTCGGTGCCAGTGCGAATTTAATACGATGGCAGTCAAACTTTTCTGTGATCGCCAAACTGTTACGTCGAGCACTATATTACCGACATAAAATTCACCACAGGAATAATGAAGATGGTCGCCTATACTAGATACTTGGCGGCATCTGTTGGTAGACTGCGAGCAACTAAGCAAACTATTTTACAGTGAGTGTCCTTGCTACGAACTGCCTTGCCAACTTAGAGGTACTACAGTGGCCTCAAAACAGGCGAGGTCTTATTTAATTTAATTTTTTTAATTTTATTGCATTACTATTTGTGTATATATTTCCTCTATAATATTATATAGAATATATTTTCTCTATTTATTTTATTGTAATTTTATTCTTCCTTCTAAAACATGAAGGGAGATCTTTCCATTTTGTACTTCGTTTATGTTTCCTTGGGGGTAAAAAGCGATTTCTCTCAAAGCGAACAATAATCGATTTTTGATCGATCGATTTGGATCTCGAATAACTTTTGACCGAAATGACTTATAGAAAAAATGCTTCAGACCTTTCTGGCAGAGCGTTCGATTCTCTACAAAAATACTCCAAGGCCTTTAAAGAACAACGTATCTTTCGTTAAATATAAAAATCAGAATTAAAAAAATACTGTGTTATTCTCATGGAAAATCGACAAGTTCGATGCGGACATTTTTAATATTCATATTAAGGGTTCATATTTTCTGAAAAAAAAAAAAATCCGAATCACCCTAATGTCCTAATGTATATCGGATATACATACATTCGAAATGGGTTCGAAAAAAGAAATGAAAACTATGGTTAGTAACAAGAGGGAAAGTGAAATCCAGCTCATTCGAAGAGAAATATAAGACAATCACTCTCACGCATTAAAATTTTAATTCGATAATGGGCTGGATTTCGAATTCATAACGAAGGTTCCGTTTTGCTGAAGAATAGCCTAGTTCTCGAATCGAATACTAACCTATGCCACATTCGTTATCGAAGGTGAGACTCGAATAAAAAAGATTCGTTTTCCAATCATTTTCGAATTGTTAACCAAGTCCAATATTCATTGGATAGATTTATCAGCTTTTTAACTTCACAATTTTTATTTACAAATATTTTCTTAACAAATCGGGTTTTATGATAACTTACTTTTTAATTTTATTCGTAAGAAAACTAGTTCTGCATCAAATTTCGCAAGACTTCATACACACATAAGTATGTACATATGTACGTACAAACAGTGACCCAGACAAATGTTCTCGCATTGAATTTTTTTCAAATGTTTACAATGTTTTTCACGTTAAATTTATTTATTTTTGTTGCTTCGTATGCTGCGAATGCCGCATTATACTAAAGGCAGCCTTTCAACATAAGCTACTGTTTCATACGAACACGGATTTCTCTTTTGCGTTTTTTTTTTGTATATAACAAATGTAATTTATAAAAATTGGCGTTGATTTTTTGGCACTTTGCTGTGAACGGTCTTCCGCATTTTATATCGTTAAAAATGTATGCTCTTATGGAAAAAAGTGCAAAAATCCCTCACCAAAAAAAAAAAATATTAAAAATCTGTGCGATTTCTTAGCCGCTTGAAACTTGCACAGCCTGTGACTATAAAGCTGCATACCCATAGATGTTCTAAAGACTCAGATTAAAAAGTTGAAATTTTGATGAAAATTAATTTAATTTTCCTCAAGTTTGAAACTGATATACATATCGTCGTTTAAAGTACCAAACCGCGTATCGTCATTCTGCAAAACCGCGTAACTGACATTGGCAGCCAAAAATTGGATTTGCTCGCACAAGCTCTTGGCCAGAAATTCGATTACTTTATAAAAAAGAGAGCCATTTTGAAATATGAGTGTTTTTACGCTCTAGAAAATAATTTCTACAACTTCACATACGCGGTTTTGCAATTTAAACGACGATATATGGTTTTGCCTAAAGCTTGGACAATATTTCTATAGAAATACAACAAAAAATAAATAAATTAAGTTGAAAAACCTTGTGAATATTAAGAAAAATTAAATAAAAAATCAGCACGTGAACACCAGCGTGAGTCACTGTAGATTTTTATAAACTACATAGTATATAAGTATGAGGACATGAGAGCAGAAGTGGCTCCTTAAAGTAGTTTCAAGTGTGATAAATTTTAAAGTAAAAGTCGCTTAGTCCTTAATTTTGTAGTAGATTATATAGCTATGTACCTAAAAATTAAGGAATAAGCGACTTTTGTTTTAAAATTTATCACGTTTGAGACTACTTTAAGTAAACAAAAAAAAAAAAAATGGGTTAGACCACTTCTGCTCGCATGGCCTCATTCATGTATACCCTGCAAACCAAAGTTTCCAAAAGAAATCATATGAGCTGGTAGACACGAACTCGTAAGGAACTTTCTTTACGGTTTCTTTATGAAAATTTCGAAAAAAAAATATAAGCATTAATTTCATTTCTTTACCGATTCTTCCCAAATTTCGTAAAAAATCTAAGATTTCTCTACTAAGTAGATAACTCTGAAAGCATGGTTTGCAGGATGCAAATATGTATGTATGTAGTAGTTGTAACTTGAAAATTTCTCCAAATTCTACTCAAATCTTTCTTCTAGTATGTATATAAGCAATGACTCAAATTAGGCCTAACTTAATTTTAAATACATAATTAATTCTATTAGAACTATCACAGGCATTGAAAAAGCATTATTGAAGTCTCTTTGGAGGCCGACAACAACAACAACGATTCGTATTATTTAAAGTAATGTGACCATCGCTAAGCACTTCAACGTCAAATTTGTACGGCTGCGCAGACGAATGGCAACAGTGCGTCTCGAGTAGTCGCTAGCGACTTAGGAACATTTACAGCGGCTCACATAATTCTCCCAAGCGGCCATATCAATAAATAGCTGCTACTACATATACATATATGTACATATACTCCATGTCAGTTCATTGGCATATTGACCTCCCAAAGTTTCATTTGATTGTCGAGCACTTCGTTGAACCAACTCCGCTTGTCGGGCACATCTCTAAATATAACATTCAATGACTTTAAATCCAATTGCAGAATCGCATCGTTGCCCAGCAAATTGTCCAATGCCNGGGACAACAACAACAACAACGATTCGTATTATTTAAAGTAATGTGACCATCGCTAAGCACTTCAACGTCAAATTTGTACGGCTGCGCAGACGAATGGCAACAGTGCGTCTCGAGTAGTCGCTAGCGACTTAGGAACATTTACAGCGGCTCACATAATTCTCACAAGCGGCCATATATCAATTAATAGCTGCTACTACATATACATATATGTGCATATACTCCATGTCAGTTCATTGGCATATTGACCTCCCAAAGTTTCATTTGATTGTCGAGCACTTCGTTGAACCAACTCCGCTTTTCGGGCACATCTCTAAATATAACATTCAATGACTTTAAATCCAATTGCAGAATCGCATCGTTGCCCAGCAAATTGTCCAATGCCTTTAGTAACGTGCCATTTCCATGTAACTTCAGTAGCGTTACATACTTCACCACATAGTATTCGTATTGCAGTTTGCGGCGCGCCCAACGCTCCACTGTTGCATTGGCGCTGGCCGACCGTATTTGCCCTAAATGTACGGCGTGCCATGGCGCGAAGAAATCGTACAGTTCCTTTTTCGAGAGGCTATTCAAGCCCTTCGTTTTGATGCGATCTCGAATTAGTTGATAGTTTTTGCGAGTGTAAACAAACACCTGAAGGAAAAAGAAAACAAAAAATGCACTTAATTTTGTAACGTTTTTTTTTTTTTGTTTTTGCGTTATATATTTTGCAGCTTTACACACCTGATACAAGGAATTCCCCGTCGTGTAGGAGTTAATGTAGTGTGTACCGCAGGACTCCATAAATTTTATGGCGCCAGTCACATTGCCCGCTGTTATGCCGCCAATGCGTTCACGCACATCATTCTCCAATGTCTGATTGAGCGGTATGTCGCCTCTAAATTTGCCCACCTCGCGAAAGCGCACCACACGCACTAATACGTATGAATATTCGCCCATTATGTAGGAAGTGTTGATACCCAGCTTTTTGGCTGCATTGTCGGCGAACCAACCGCCAGTGAAGGCCTCCCATGGCTTGTCTAGCCGTTCAACAGTAAAGTCACGAAAGTATGCCTGATACAGTTGGCGACGATTATCGCAGAACTCCATATGAAAATCACCGTGAAAGATGCCTGGCGCATTCTCTTCTCGACTCTCGCTCAGTGAACTCAGATCCTATGGTAAATGCGGTATAAAATTAATGAAGAAATAAGTATACAGAGAAATCTAATCCGCAATTTCGGAAAATTTCCGAGGCATGTGTGATTTATGTCTGATTTCGATTGGCTTAGTATGGCTTAGTAAGGAATATTCTTCACCATGTTGGTGCAGCTATGAGATAACAGGAAATTAGTAACGGGCACCCGTGGATGCCGCATATACATGGGCGTAGCCAGGTAGGGGCGGGGGGTGCTCGAGCTCGAGAATATTTACCTGTATACATATGTACCTTATAAATAGACTTCGTTGGCTCCTTGAACAACCACTTGTCGACTTCAAAACTGTCATTGTACGGAATAACGCGCATCGATATGCCCAAGTAGCCATAACGAACGAAAATGTTGATGGCCTTGCCGATACGCAACTGTGACTCACGTGTGCCGCCTAAAGAAATGTTGCAGGCTACGAAAATTAGTGCCACCAGCCAAAGTAGACCATTACCCAGGTTCATCGCTCATTCGGCTTAACGTTTACATAGAAACGTATTTGTTATAGTCCAAGTAACTGTAAAAGATTGATAAATAAAAAAAAATATGTAAGTATCTAAACATGTACGAGCATTATATGTACATATGTACACGCATACGCATTTATGTACGCATATTCATATACATACCCCGCAGAAAAAAATAAATAAATTGATAAAAAATAACCCACTTGTAGTTAGCTTTTTTGCTGGATTTCTATAAAATATTTAACTTGTAGTTAGCTACAGAAAGCTAACGTGAAACTAATTGACAAGTAGTGCAGCAGTAATGCAGTTGTTTTCTTTAAACGCGTTCCTATTTATATATCCTGCACTTCGCAAATACTTTTTCGAATTGAGGACAAATGAAAGGAAGATCGGAATTTCAAATTATCAGTTTGAAGTTACGTCTGACGGAGGTCGAATAGGAGACCACCTACAGCAGAATATGTAATGTATATGAAATGTAATAAAATAAATAAAGTAAATAAAAAAAAAAAAAAATAAAAAATATTTTGTTTTTCCTATTGATATTTTATGTCCAAAAGTAGTTAATTACACCAAATGCAGAGCTAACCACCTTTGGCTATTTCGCGGTCATCGCCATAGCTTTCGTCAACGAAAATATACAGATAATTGTGACTTTTAGCTCCTTCCGAACGAAACTTAAAGTTTGCTTATAGTTAGATACATTTCCTGCAGGGTATGTACATACATACTATTATAATAATATATGCGTACATACATAAATGCCCACATAAAAATATTGTTGATCAAATGTTGAGATAATTTTGAGGTCACTTTGGTCAAGTCAAAAGTTGTTGTATTTCCCACCAAATGTGCCAAATTAAGTACCAGTATTTACATAGATAAACAGATAGCTGCAATAAATTTATTACATTTTATCGAAAAGGAAAAAATAAACGATATCATGCTTGTTTCCAAAAAAAAAAAACGCTCACCATGGACGGCGAGCGGTAATATGTTTACATACTTATCAACAAATTTTTGTCGCACATTTGCTGCAAGAGTGTCATAATCCCAAAAAAAAAATTGAGTTATGTATGCAGAAATGATCTGGTTTTCAATGTTGTGTAAAAATTTTTCATAGCCGATTCCACGCAAAACTTCGCTGTTATTCGTTGAGTGTAAGCACGAGCAGCTTTGCTTTCCTTCTTCCGTTCGGCAGAAAATTTTTAACTGCTTCTTGTGTAACCCAATAGAAAATTTGTAATTGCTCTTTGGTGTACAAATTCAGGCCAATTTCGGGGCTAAATCGAGACGACTTTAGGGCCATTTCGGGACTATTCAGGACTAGTTCAGGGCCATTTCGAGGCTAGTTCAGGACCTTTTACGCACCGTTTTTGGACTAGTTAGGTATCATTTTGGGACATTCAGGACTTGATCGAGATCACTTTGGGACTAGTTCACGACTTTTTCGACCGTATCGGATCCGTTTCCGAATCATTTTGGGTCCTATTTACGACTATTTCAGGCCTAGTTTTTGAACATTTGAAATTAATAGTTTACGACTATTTGAGTGAGGTTCATTTCGGAACTAGTTCAGTATCATTTCGGGACTATTTCAGAACCATTTCGGGATAGTTAAGGACTATTTTTAGGACCATTTTTGGATCGTTTTGATGCAAATAAGAGATAATTCGGGGCTATTTTGGAACAAGTTCGGGAATATTTTCGCGGTAGCATGTAACTAGTCAGAAAATGATCCTGAAATAGTCCTAAACCATTCTCGAATCGAAAAGTGTTATCAAAAAGTCGTGTACTGACTGGCCTTAAAAATAAAGAAATAAAAATTTTTAACCTAACCTAACCTATTTATGTGTGTAACTAAATCCCGTAATGCTTTGCTCAAGATCAAATTTCCTATAAAAATATTTAGTAGGTCATTTTACTACGGGTCACCGAAGATGAAAAGCACCACCTAATAAGTCTGAGTGAGCTATACAATGTTTAGGGTAAGGTAATACATTTTTAATGAGCTCACTAAAAAATTGCTCGCTTAAATTGACTACAGGTCTCTGAAGACAATAATCATGTAAATTTTTACACAAAAATACAAACTTGCGATAAACCGAAACAAAATAATTTTAGGATTTGAATACCAAGCACAGATACTAACTTTTGGACATTATAACAAAATATAACTTATGTTTAAATAATTATGTTGAAGATGGTATAAATTTCCAAAAAATATCAAATAAAAACCAATTTGCGCATTCAAGTTTGGGTCCGATCGCGGCACATAATCAGAACGGAAGTATTCAACCAATACAAATTACTGAATATTTCAACAGATTAATATACATATGTATCAACGTATACTCTTCCTTTTAGTTAATGATCTTTTATGTTCACATATTTAATCATCTTTAATCAAAGAAAATAAAACAAATAGAAATGCAATTAGTACGGCGTACAGTCATATACATACATATAAGCTGGCATACATAAATACAATCATATGTACATATGTATGTATGAACACACTTATGGCTATACTATGTATAGATGTACAGCTGAACCGAAGTATATATTAAAATTGACCGTGAATCGTATGGCGCGGCGTTAAACTTGACATTCGTTGAACCATCCATATCGCAACTGCTATCGCCAGCGCCATCATCATCAACATTCATAATTGTCGTCATAAACTTTTTAAAAGCATAATTAAAACACTGACATATTAAAGCCGACCGACAACCAAAAAAAAACACTAAGCTCAGTGAATTTCCGAAATTAGTGGCAACAAGCTAAAACCACAGCAATAAAATTATCAACAACTCGCGACCACTTTTAATTAAATAGCAAATACATTCACACTTAACATGCTTCAAAAAAGCGGTTATATTAAAAAAAAAAAAGGATAAAAGAAGTAGTACACAATGCAGTGTTGTCTTTAAAATAATTTCAACCAAAGCGGAAGAGATTTGCTTAAGATGATTGCATATTATTAACGATTAAACTATAATGATGAACAATGTTAACCAAATATTTAATACACTGCAAAAAAACTTTTCTTTTATATTTTTAAATATTGTAACTGAAATAGAAAATGGAATCGTGACTAATATTTTTTATTTTTTTCATAAAATGGTGTGGGACTTGTAATTCGATTCATCATATTAATCAAAAACTGAATTTTTAATTTTTTATTGGTTACGACTTTTTGTATTTCACCGACGGTGTTGGTTACGTCTTTTTGCATTTCAGGTGACGATACATACGTATGTATTTATATTTATTCGACAAAAGAATAGTTGAGGCAAAATTCCAGAACCCTACCTCTATCTCTCACTTACTGTTGATTTTTGGCAATTTCCCTTTTTTAGGGTCCGTACATTTTTTTTTCAAAGTACGGAAGAAAATTACTGAAACCGTCAACGGAAAAAAAATTAAATTGCGAAAGTTCAAGGGCAAGTCTAGAAGATGAAAATATGTGTCTGAAATTTTTTATTTTTTTGTGACCCACAACGAAATTTTCATATGCGGCCGAAATAAAATAAAAATCGTTTCATTTGACAGTATAATATTTATATTTTGAAATTAGAAAATTATGGGAAGACGTCGACCTATCATGACTTTACATTAGGGATGGAAGTTCTATCCGGTTTTTAATATCCGTAATCCGGATATTCGGATATCTGTTGAAAACATATAAATCGAATATCCGGATATCAAAATGAACGATATNCTAGCTAAGACTTACTGTTGATTTTTGGCAATTTCCCTCTTTTAGGGTCCGTACATTTTTTTCTAAGTACGGAAGAAAATTACTGAAATCGTCAACGAAAAAAAAAATTCAATTGCGAAAGTTCAAGGGCAAGTCTAAAAGGTGAAAATATGTGGCTGAAATTTTTTTTTTTTGTGAAATTTTCATATGAGGCCGAATAAAATAAAAATCCTTTCATTTGACAGTATAATATTTATATTTTGAAATTAGAAATTTATGGGAAGACGTCGACCTATCATGACTTTACATTAGGGATGGAAGTTCTATCCGGTTTTTAATATCCGTAATCCGGATATTCGGATATCTGTTGAAAACATATAAATCGAATATCCGGATATCAAAATGAACGATATTAACCGAACATCGGGATTTTACCGGTATACACGAATATTCGAATGGATATCCGAAGACACAGATAGTCCCAGTCTTACTTCACATGCTACATTCGTCGGCTGAGTGGGGGATGACCCTATTCCGGCTGCCAGTTGAAGAACGCCTTATAAATTACACATATGTACATATGTTTCTCTCAACATGTGGTTTGGTAATCCCCACTTAATTTGGTTTTAGTTAAGAAATCTTTTAAAGATTCGATGACTTTTTGACGAGCTTGGATAGATCCACCAATACAACTTCTTAAAGTAGTTTCAATTGACGCGAGAATATTTTGGTGCCCTCTGGCGGCGGTTTTCTTTTCGCTTCAAATCAGCATGGCAAGGGCGCTACGTTCCACATGCGAGAACGATTTGAGGTTGTGGTTATTTCTGGCAGAGATGACCTGAATTTGCAACTAAAATCGTGCGACTATTTTCCTTGGGTTTAAGCCCCAATCGACTAATGCCCTTTAAGCAGAAATGACCCAGGGGAAATTGCTCAAATTCAGCCGGAGCTTTGCCGCGAAGTGATTAGGATCACTCGGAACAGTGACGCCGTAATCTGTCATGTCAGGCCTTTAGACGCTTTTACCTTCCATACATAATGGCATTCGGCAGCCTTTTAAATAAAAAAAAAAGATTCTCGTTGATACCTGGCGTTTTATTCCATTATATTTCAACATTTAGCCGCCATTATTTGAGACGCCTTAAAATCTACCATACATAGATTATTTTCATGGCCGTATTGGCAGAAGTATTATCAAANCACATGCTACATTCGTCGGCTGAGTGGGGGATGACCCTATTCCGTCTGCCAGTTGAAGAACGCCTTATAAATTACACTAGTGTTCGCCCAGCGGTTGAAATTCAACCTTTTAAAATAAAGGGATCTGAGGTGGGCTGAGTTGAGCCG